TATATATATATATATTCAGCGAAAAATAATTAAACACGTAGGATTATGCACAATTATTTAGTTTAAATTCTTGCTTTTGACTGTTAATTAATTGTGATAAAGCTAGGCGATTTCATTTAAACCATAGTTAATTTTATCGACTATTAATAACTCGTAAACGTTTGTAGTTGTAACTCCTGCTATTTTAAAATGCCAAATACGTATTTACGTAGAGCAATACAAAAGAAACGTTTCTTCGAGCGTTTCCCTTAAAGAATGCCATCAAACGCCATGCCGCCACATTCGACACGATTGGTCGATTTTTCTGTCTGCTAGATTATCATTTTTCGATCATTTGGGTTTCAGCTGTTTCCTGTTGATATCTCGTCCCCGAGATCTTTCGGCTGTTATTGGTCGATTTATTTTCTGTTTACGTTTTCTTGCGTGTCCTTGATCACTTTCGCGCGCAAAAATTGCGATTTGAAGATTTTGTCGACAATATGTACAATGGGCACGAATATCTGTCGTGTATCAAAATCGTGAGTATAATCTCACAGATCTTGGCTTGTGGCTTTGTAAAATAAACTAGCAAATAATTGATTTTTTTGATTGTGCGAGAGTGATGCCTATAAATGTTTTCGCCTCTCAGAACACCTCAAAACAAACCGCGATGAAGAATACGCACGAAAAGGCAGAACCGATGGATCTAACGGCGGAGCATCGCAATTTAATCTTAACGGCCAATAAGGTTTTCGGAGAAGACAAATGGAGCCATACTGTTGTGAACCAAACATTAGGTACACTTATTACTATTTCAGCTTTCCATTTGACACAAGTATCGTTTTATCTTTTATCTTTATCTCTGAATGTCTCTGAAGAAGAATAGAATGACTCTTTTGTCAACTTGTATCAAGTGGAAGCATCCATAGTTGATGAAATTCCCATAAGTGTGACTAGTCTTGTCAAATTTATGAAAGTGATTTATAAAGCTCGAATTTGTTATAGATTTTGTCGAAATAATTGGTGCCAAATGTTGTACTGGTTGCGTCAGCTTTGTCAAGGTCCAGCTTGACAATGGAAATTTTCATGAAGATATTGGTTATTACAGTGCAGAGGAATCCACAAAAGGCTTGTCGATACACAATGCCAGAGTTGTATGTGTCAGTCAATTGGAGAAGAAAGAAGCAGAATATTTTATATTTTATTAAACATTTATTTCTGTGTGTGCAGGGTTCTGCTGTAAATGCCTTAAGAAGAGTTCTGTTGTCATTTGGAGATAAAATTGAAAAAGAATTGCAACAGCTACAAAAACAGATTAATTCTGAACAAGCTAATAACATACAAAAAAGTGTGATACAATCGGACGAGCAGATTTCAGATAAATCAAATGTTTTAATTAAAGCACCTGTTTCTCATGTGCAAGAAACAGAACGTACGAGTGAACCTGAACCAAATAAAAGTACAAATCAATTAATAAAAGGTTTGTGAGAAATAAGTATATAAAGAAAAAAATATTATAGATCTGAGAGTGACATAAAAATCTTTTACTATAGAAAGTTTTTAAGAAGAATCTCTTAAAAAGATTTTACATTGTTCTATTTTTTTCATTATTCAATTTTTTTATTCTGTATAAAATAATTATCTTATAATTTTATGGAATGTTATGTGATATTTTTTGATTGCTATATAAAGATCAAGTTAAGAATACTTTTCTTGCATTAAAAAAGTTAATTCTAAACAGTTTAAAAACTTTTAAATTAATATATTTTGAATAAATTGTATAATTTTATTATTCTCAGTCATTATAATTATAGTACAATGTATATGTAATGTTGAATTCTTACACATATAGCTCCTTCTTTGGGATCTACTATAAATATTACATCTGAGACTAATCAATCGTCATTTACAAATGTTCAGATTGATGAGCCCTCATCGAAAAAAAAAAATTTAATTCAAGAGAAGCTAAGACAAGGTAATATCGAAAATTTAGTACTCATTCAATCATTTCTATGCAAAAAAATCTAATTTTTAAACACTGATTGTCTAGAGAGGAAAAGGAAACAAATGGAAAAGCAGATGGAATTTAAAAGGCGTATGATGGAAAAAGAAGGGTTAGTGTCCAATGACAACAAACCTAATCCCAAATATTGAGATATTGGAAATTGCATATAAATCTTTGCATTCAGTATACTACATATTTAGAATATTTATTAATAGTATATATAAAAATATATAGTATATTTAGCATATATAATATATATAGAAATATTAATTCTTGTTGATAAGGTTAAGTGATATTCTTTATACTCGTGTATATATGTCTATTTTTTTAATAATGTGCAAACTAAATATTTGTTTTAAATAAATATTGTAACCTATAAAATAAAAATATAAAATAAAATATTTTTAATGCTATTAATTAGAATCGCTATAATATAACGTAAATTGTACATGTATCAAATATATTAAAAGAGAGGTTAGAAGTCTCATGCTAAACACACAAATATTTTAGGAGCTTGGAGTTGTATACCCGAAATTATTTAAAAATAGACTTCCGTGTTTATTTTTGTATTCGTCCGTTAAACATAAAATAATGATATTAATACCCTGAAAATTACTTAAAATTCAGATTAATCGATATTGAGCGAGATAAACAAGAAGATTGAATTAGATGTTATCCACGTGATCGATTTGCAAAGAAATCAAGATACACTTTTGATTCATATATTTTTCAATGAAGATATTGTTCAAATAAACGAAGACCAAATAAATAGAAAACAACATTAAGACTAATAAGAATTGTGGATTGCTTCACATAATTTTTGTTTACACCTTGTGCATATATCAATGAATAATGGATCAATACTTTGAAAGTTACGAAGAACTTGACGTAAGTGAAACAAGTACATATATCATTATTATATATATTATATTTATTACATTGAATTTTATTTTTAGATTCATCAATTAATGCTGAATGACAAAATACGTGTCTTAGCATATAAAACTGCCATTTGTAATTCCAAAGAGAAATTTCAAAACAAAGTAGTAATGGATATCGGTGCTGGCTCAGGTATTCTTGTATTTAAGGGATATGTATAACTGTAATATATAACATTACATATTTTGTTCATATATATTTTTTGTATAGGTATATTATCAATTTTTTGTGCACAAATTGGTGCAAAGAAAGTTTACGCGGTGGAAGCAAGTATGCTGGCAAACAGTATCGAGCAAGTGTCAATTGAAAATAATATGCAGGACAAAGTTAAAGTAATTCACAGTAAAGTAGAGGACATCTCTCCAGACAGTTTGGAGAAAGTAGACGTAATTGTGTCGGAATGGATGGGTTTTTATTTGGTACACGAAGGAATGTTAGATTCTGTATTATTCGCTAGGGATAACTTATTACACGAGGATGGTCTGTTATTCCCATCCATTGCAAAATTATATGCTTCGCCATGTCAATTACCTTCTATGTACGATTTTTGGAATAACGTATGCGGAGTCAGTATGAGGTAATTGTATTATTTCAGAAGTAAGAATAAAAGTAAGATACTGTTGTTTGTTATTTCATCGTTTCTTTTTTTATTATCACAAGTACTGTATATTTATTCTACAGTACTCTCTAAAATACATTCTAAAACTTTTAGAATGAATCTCACTCCGAAGAGAAAAATCTCACTCTTAAAGATTGAAAATTAAGCTACTTTTTCGAGACTGGCTCAATTTTCACTCTTTAGAGTGAGATTCTAGTCCTAAGAATTTAAAGAGTATATTCAATTTTTATTTAGGTGTATTGGAAAGGAGTATAGAAAAACTAAATCCTTAAAGCCAGAAATTCTGCTTGTAAATCAAGATGATATTTTGGCGGAAGGTAAATTGCTTGCATGGCTGGATTTGAGGTGCATCTCTGTGGAAGAGATAGATCTACTAGGTGGGCAGGACTATGTATCGGTATGCAAAAAGGATGGGAAGTTCCAAGGGATGTGCATTTGGTTTGCAGTCGAATTTCCAGATGGTTCGGAACTGTCTACGGGGCCTCATGACGAAACGACGCATTGGAAGCAAACTGCAGTGGTCTTGCCCGAAGATATGGAAGTGACAAGGAACGAACCTATTGCTTTCAAATTCGAATTGAAAAGAGACGCGTCACATCCAAGGCGTTATAATATGGAATTGAGTTTGTTGGATGCAGAGGAAGTGGAACATGACATTCCCTGCGATTGTCACATGACGAAATGTATAGTGACCAAAAAGTACATTGATGACTTGGATGAAAGTGAATCAGACGCAGCAGAAAGTGATTTGTACATTCCAATATGAAATATTATATTTTTTAATAAAATATAATCTAAATGGAAAAAATATTTCTAATTTTAATTTTTCAGAATTTTTTTTTAAATTTATATATAATTTTATAATTTTTTAGAAAATTTCTCAAACTTTTTACATGAGAACACTTTTTTCAAAAGTACTTGGAAAGTTTAGAGTCCGTTTTTACCAATGTAGATTAAAACTTTAATCTTGATTTAACTTACTTTTTTTCTAGTTCTAAGAATTATTAAACTGAGATTAAAGTTAACCTATATTGGTAGAAATGGACATAAATCTTTTAGAACCTTTCATGTATGTAAATTTTAAAATAATCTAAAATATTTCCAAGATTTTCTGTTCTATAATTTCTGAAAAAAATTTGAAGTATAAAGAATTTTTTTCAGAAATCTCTCTTTATAAATTAAAAATATAAATTCTCAAAAATATGAGATAATATAAGAATTTTTTTCATTAGAGATTAGAAAAATTTTGACAAGAGGTAAAAAAACCAATAAAACTCCAATTATCTTAATCAACGATTGATTCAAGCAACAGCTGTAATATTTTATTATAATTAATTAAAATTGCTGTGAATTATCAAAAAGTCATGCTAAAATAACATCTCGTTTTTCTAGAATGAACAGACGCGTAAACAATTAATAAGAGCAGTCGCGTGATTCTCTCTTCGCGTGGAAATCGCGTCATAGAAATCGACGAGGATGCGATAAAAGACTTTAAAATACAATATCCATTTTTTCCTTTCCTTCATGCCTGAATGGGCCGCGCATGACGCGCATGCGTCACTTCGTCAGGCGAAACAATCTGGACAACTACTAGGCTTGACTCGTCTCATCACCGGGGTGGGACGAATCATTGCTCGCGGGTGCATCTATCGACGGGGACCGCGGCGACGAAGTGACCGCGTCTCCACGCCAGTCGAGCGCACCACGCACCAGTCGTTCCGAGGGTAACACCTGGCAAGATGAAGATGGCGGATGGACCCACGATCCTACGGAGAAACAGGCCCGGGACGAAGGCAGAGGTTATTAACGCTGTTATAATTTCGTTAAGAAACCGTCGCACTGAAACGGGCGATATCCCGATCGTCAGGATTCGCCTGATAGTGGAAATTTCCCGGCACTTCCTCCTCCATTTGACAATTCCCTGATGAAATCAATGAATTCGAAGTAAACGGAACTACTGTTTACACTACGTGAATGTTGTCCCCAAATTCTTAGCATCATTCAGTTTCACAACATCTTTTTGGTTTCTTTGCCTTCACTGAGGCGTGACAGATTGACAAATGATTTCTTTGTATTCTTATCTGAAATACTGCATGTTTTATGTACACTTTTATCTCTCGGTTGTTTTTATTGATTGTTTAATATTATAAGTAGTAAAATACGAGTAGTACGTTTATACGCAATATTGGATCTATTTTTACATTGTAATAAGCTATATAGTGAAGAGATCGATTGTTTATGAGGATGCTGACGTAAATTTAATTATTTTTATAAGAGCTTACGATCAAGATTTTATTTTGCTCTATAGGATTTTAGCAGGTGGCCGGATGAGCCGTTTGAAGAAATGGATAGCACGCTGGCCGTGCAACAGTACATTCAACAAATGATTAGAAGAGATCCGTCTAATATCGATTTGATACTCAATATGCCAGAGGCCAATGATGAGGGTGTATGGAAATACGAACATCTCAGGCAATTCTGCATGGAGCTCAACGGTTTGGCAGTTAGATTGCAAGAAGAATGTCATCCTGAAACTTGTACACAGATGACAGCCACTGAACAGTGGATATTTTTATGTGCAGCACATAAAACTCCCAAGGAGTGCCCTGCAATTGATTACACGCGACACACATTGGATGGAGCGGCATGTTTACTTAACAGCAACAAATATTTTCCCAGCAGGTATCTCTTTCATATCTCATTCATAACATGTTATATTTTTATCGTAAATAAATCTGTATAAAAATTTTCTTGTGTAAAATTGTATTTCAGAATCAGCATCAAAGAATCTTCTGTAGCAAAACTCGGCTCTGTCTGTCGTAGGGTTTACAGAATATTTTCTCATGCATACTTTCATCATAGAACAATATTTGATGAATTTGAAAATGAAACTTTCCTTTGTCGCAGGTAAAGAATGTGATCTGCATAGATATGAATATTTTTCTGTTGTATGTGTATTACAAAGAGGAATATATTATTTTCCATTGTTATAGGTTTACGGCATTTGTGACGAAATATAATCTGATGTCAAAGGACAATTTGATAGTACCTATTATGGAAGGTGAAGGCGCAACGGAAAGCGAAGCATAGGATCTAACGTTACGATCGTATTGCCCAAAGTCGAATTGCCAGATTTAAGAACAGTAAGAACAGAAAAATGCTAATATTCACGCATTAACCTGATATGTCGTGATTGATATAACGAAGATCTTTGAAAGAGATCAGAAAGTTTAACTCTTATTTAAATAATATGAATTTGTTATAATCTATCTTCAATATATACAAAATATCGAAAGGTAAAAAATATATATGTAAATTGTATTTAAAAATTTGTATTACATTAGAGTTTACGTTATTTTTTTTAATAATTCGTGTTTTAATATAGAGCAAGTTATATCAAAAAATTTATGAATTTAAATGCATGATAACGTTCAAAACACTTGCTTTATTAGAGTTGTCGAATTGTATTTTCTTTGACGACTGTGACAAATTTCAAAGATCTTGAAAAAGACATATTCTCATCTTTGCTCAGTACCTTATTGAATAGAAATTTTCCTTGAATTTTATTAATAGCTGTTCAATGATTGTTGTAAACAGAATATTTTTCGTGTCTGATAAGCACAATGTCTTATATTTATTCATCTCTTTTAATTTAAGATCTGTGTGCAAAGATAAAATTTCATTAAAACTATCAAATTTCTTGGAACATATTGTATATGATAATTTAATCTTTGTTATAGTTTTTATAATATATTACATATTTAAAGAAAAAAAAGGAAGGGAGATATGATGTGTTATAAACTTTTCATCTTACGCTATTGAAGTTACTAGATGACAAAAAGTGTCTCATCTCTATATAATATATATTATGCTTTATCTTCTGTAAACATCTTTTTGTAAAAAATAATAGACTGTATCTTTCTATACATTAAATACGTATAATGGAAAAATATATAACTCATTTATATATTGTACTCATTATATTATGTATGTTACACAAATTCAGTTACGTGAATAATTTCGGAATAATAAACAAAATTTTGTCAAATTACTTGTATTAAAATTCTATTAAATTTTTATAATTTTATGTATTATTAATTTACTTATAAAGATAACGTGCATTCTATTGAATCGTCGGAATTTTTCATTATAAGAACTAATGAGATAATATTAATTACATTATTGCTTTTATTCCATCTTTGATAAAATAATAGAGTTAGCTTGAAAAGTGATCTTTATATCTCAAAACAACTTTTGAGGTAAGATCCAGTTATACAAAAATTTCAATAACAATAAGGTGGAAATAACACCTCGAATGTTTGTTGCCGACTTGCATAACCAGAAGAATGCGAATTTATATAAACAATTGTAGAATTTTACACATTATTATACATCGCATTAGTTTAGAATGATCATAATATATAATCGTGATCACGTAGTTGGTCTTTATAAGATGTATTGTTTAAACGAGAGACATAGCGATAAATGTGGTATAGCACTGTTATTTATAGTACATATACATTTATTCCATATAGCAATACAAATCACAGGATGCTAAGCTTTCCTATGCTGTTCTCGAAATTTTCGTAATAATTTACGGTGAATTTTGGACAGATTGCTCGTTCCATATATTGGATATAAGGCTAGATCGAAACTACAATAAATGAGAAATGTAGAGTGGCTGGGCGCCTTATCAATTCGATAGTGTGTTTTCGAATCTATTATAAGGTATTGCTATAAAATTATAGTGCGAATACGAGCGTCATTTTTTAAACGAATAATGTTTAATGAAAAGTTTCTTTTAACCAGCGGAATAGATTAAGATGAAATCTTACGACAACCGATCAATGATGGCATTACTTTCTGATGTGCCGAATGTTCATTATAATACGTAATTTTCATCTTCAAAAGTAATATTTTTGTGATTACATGATTTTTTTGTCATACGCTGGAAGATAGAGCAATTTATAGAATTCATACTCAACATATATCGACGCATGTTGTTACAGGAGAGTTGTACTGAATATTTCTCGTAACGAGATTCTATTAAGCGGCACTGGCTTTGACATTGCGAGATTGTTTCTTTTCGTATTCGATGTATAGAGGAGGATATTGTAACACTGTATATAAAACTTGTAAGTACAAAAAGACTCGAGTTATAATGTATTAATGAATACCGCGAGATGTGACGAAAGAATACGCAGCCGGAATACATATATATGACGTGTGACTGTTTCAATGAAAATTGTCTATGTATAATGGTAAAGAAATAAACTTTCTACATAAGATCTCTGTTATTCCTTTTTTGCAACTATTATCAGAATGGAGCGATATCACCTGTGTGTGGCTGTTTAGTTGCAATTTGTTATCATCAGTACTCAGAACGAAGGCTACGTTTAAATTTTGTAAGATTTACTAAATTAAATCTTGAATGGCTTTTTAAAAAAAATCATATACATAATATTATTCATTATAATTTGATTTGTTAGAAGATTTAATCGTTTACTTTTGATATCTCGAAAGAGCCATACAACTTTGTAACATAATTATATTCTTATATATTTGTCGTATATTTATAAAAAAAAGAACAAATTTTAAAAATATAAAGAGCTCTTTTAGAAATATGAATAGCGAGCAAAATTAAAAATACTTTCTATTTAATTAATCACGATGTTTTTTTTTCTTCGAGGGTAGTTCTGCGTTTTCTATCGCCTTGTTTTTTTTTCTTTTTTTATTTTTTTTCATTATTCTAGATTGCTCGTCGAT